TGGGGGGGGGGGGGGGGGAGTGGTTTTTCAGCTTGCGTTATTTGAATGGGACTGAGCTGTGACGGAAATGGCGATGGTTTCCCTGTTCAATTCTAAATTGCGGGTCTTATTATTGGGGCTGGATTTGTTCACGGTAGTACAGAGTCCAGATCCACTGATCACGCTTGTAAATAGCCAGCTGGTTTGCCTCCGCCCAGTTGGGATTCTTAACCCTGTTATGTTTGATTTGAATTATTTGTTTCGGCCATTTGCTCGGCCCCTCTAGCATCAGTGCTATAATGTCGAGGGTAAATGAAGGAATTATTTATTTATTCATTATTATCATTATCATCAAGAAACACGGAAGTTTGTGCAAAATATTTTACAGACAAGCGCGTTACATAAATATAATGTAAGCGTCTCACACCTCCTTCCAAAAACTTGCCCATAGTTACGTTCGAAGTGAGTAGCCTGTGGTATAAACTTTAAAATGTTGCTATGGTTTGCTTTCAGAAAAAATATAAAAATAATTGACGCGTAATAAGTCCCATTATTATATGGCTGAGTCTGTTTTGGCAATGCGATTGGTCAATTTGCGGTCCGTAACTTGCTATACCGACCAAAATTTTTAAAGAAAATACTCATTTCGCAGCTCTAATTCTCTTTACCTCGGAAAAAAGGTTTAAATAAAGTTTTAAGACGCCTGTAAACCTTGAGGACTTGGATGTTGAATTCGGCCTTCAACATTTTAAACTGTGTTTATTTGTGAACGAAGGCGATGAAGAAACTAAGTCGTAATCTTATCGAAGAAGATTCTAGTCAGTGTTTGAAAATTTTATCGTAGTACACTGTTAAGAAGACGAAAATCGACTGGCAGAGATTCGAGATGTTTTGCCTAAGAGAAAATGAGTAATTCTTTAACAATATATGATAACAAACATACCTGCACCCGATCATCTTGACAAGCTTCTTTGCCATTTGCAGTGTTTTATCAAAAACCAACGAAAGACGGATAGAAGCGAGTTCGAGCCAGACACAATAATGTCCAGTTTTCAAAAGACTCCAGCGTCACATTAACGAGTGAATATTTACAGTGCTCTTAGTTTCCACCGAACAAAATTTAAATTATGTCTGTAAACCCTGAGGATTGGGATGTTGACTTTGCCTTTCCAAATTTTAACCTAGCTTTGTTTTAATGAGAACGAAGCTGTTGTAGAAACTGAATCGTAACCTTACCGAGGAAGAGAATTCTAGTCAGTGTTTTAACGCAGATCACAATTGAAGACGAGAATGAACTAACGAGCAAAACCTTCGACAATGACAACAGACTTACCTTGAAAAGCTTCTTTGCATTTTGCAGTGTTTTTTTCCCAAGGACAAACGGAGGAAAGATGGAAACGACTTCTAGACAGACACATTGTCCGGTTTCCAAAATACTCCAGCGTTACATTTAAGAGCTAAAACTTACAGTGCTCTTAGTTTTGACCGAATAAACCTTTTCAACACGGCGAATTTGTTTTCACTTTCTCAGAAAGCCTTTGTTATGTGCTATTATTTTCGTGCGCCAATAAAAACTTTCTTTTTTGACGCCTGTCAACGCCTGCACTTGTTTCCGGTCCCCCAAACAGGAAGAAGGCATATAATAACCATCTTATTAGCCTCGTTTTTTTCGGTCTGAACTGTAAATTACGGATCCTCGTTTTTATGCACGTCGATCCTAAGTCGAAATTCTCGGCCGCTCTAGGCGGAAAGATCCTGAAAGAAAGGCTGAGTCGTTTCAAACAGGCGTTCCTAATTATTCAGACACCGAAATTTTCATGTACTTAAATGTATTAGGTTCGGCTCATGAAAAGTACTGGTCAATTTGTAATTTCACATGTGAAATTACTAAATTGCCATGGTAACCTGCCGTACGTCTCCGTTTCAAGATGGCGACGAAGTTTTAAAATGTCATGAATGAAGAGGTCAGGGCATAAAAAGACGCTTTAGAAAACCTGAACACACGAAAGAGCACATCAAGAAGGATTCTTAGAGGTATGTTGTCGAAAAATTCCGAAAACTTAAGCCAAATTTCAGCTCTAAACGTTTGAAAGAGTGGAGTTCACGATCGATCGATACGATCCAGGATAAACAAGTCAAAAATCCTCGATTGCTGAGGTAATTCGTCACCCATGATATTAATAGGTAATCAAATAGTATATTCGTGAAATTAGGGAATAATTTCACTTGCGTTTTGTCCAAATCCTAGTAATTTTCCTCGCCTAAAAGCTCCGGAAATTATAAGGATTTGGACAAAACGCGCGTGAAATTATATATAAGGGAGTAGATATAAATGCAAATTTTGCATTTAAGTATGTCTACAGATAGACGACAAACTTTCGCAATTAATTATCTCAGTGAAAAATAAAATTAGTAAAAAAAATACTATGCCTATATATATACTGATACAAATCTCGCAGTTAACCATTTGTCATTAACTGCGAAATTTCTCTCTGTTTATAGTAAGAAACACAAATCTCGCAGTTAACAATTTGTCATTAACTGCGAAATTTCTCTCTGTTTATAGTAAAAAACACAAATCTCGCAGTTAACAATTTGTCATTAACTGCGAAATTTCTCTCTGTTTATAGTAAGA